CCGCATTTTAACCCCATATCCGTTCCGTTCCGTTCCGCATATCCGTTCCGTTCCGCATTTTAACCCCATATCCGTTCCGTTCCGCATTTTAACCCCATATCCGTTCCGTTCCGTTCCGTTCCGCATCCGTTCCGCATCCGTTCCGTTCCGCATCCGCTTCCGCGTTTTAACCTAACCCCTCCTTTTGCTGGATGTCCGAGTGTGAATTCCATCAAAAGTATCGATACTTTTGTAAGTATCGATGATTTCGATACTTTTTCGATACTATCGCCCATCACTACCTCGAATTCTGAAATCGAAAGCTGATTTTAGAATGGCTTCTTCAAGAAATGTTTCTGTTGATGAACTTGAAGCGTTACTGGAGTGTCCAATTTGTATGGAAAGGTTAAACCAGCCCAGAAGTCTTCCGTGTTTTCATAATTTTTGTAAAGTGTGTTTAGAAAAGTATGTTGAAGGTCTCCGTGATGGAAAGAATATTGAAACATTTCCATGTCCAACATGTCGTTCAGAGTTTGCGCTGAAATCAAATGAAAATGTCGAGGGAATGGCGGGGAATTATTTCATCAGGAATATGCTGGAAGTCATGACGTTACAACAAGAAGCCAAGGTATCTATGTTATATTGTTAACGAGAAAATATTGACTGGACCCAGTGACACAGTGTAGCCTGTGTAGGTGCAACTACTGGTTCCTGAAATACAATAAACTTATGGATATTTCTAGGCAAGAACCCACAAACAAGATTTTATCATTGGTGAACAATATACTTGAGCCTATAGAGTGTCACCAAGGCTTGAAATTTCCACCACTACTGTATCCAGTGGGATACTAGCAACTTGCAATCAGATATCCACCCAGAAAATCTATAGATCCCACTTTTGGATAATTGATATTCCAGTTGTCAGTATCAAAACATTGAAGTAGTTCAACATTCAGTATTGGTTATCTTTCTTTGAGAAAAAAACACTGAGGATGAGGCAAATTTGTGTACTTTATCCCAATGGATTTGAACTTTTGATGTCCAGTTTCCAATCTTAAAATCTTGTATCATGTGGTTAGTTATTGCGATAAGTACTACTAAATTTCATGCCCTATACATGACTTGAAACAGCAACATGTCAGCTTTTGCAAAATGAGCTGCATCTGATCACCCGATTAGCGTGTTTGACGCCGGCTGACAGCCGGAAATTTTGTCTCCGATTGCTCGGCTGCCAGCCGGGCTGTACTATAGTATACTATTCGTTCAAAAAATGCGCGCATTTCGGAGACTGGTTCTAGAATGTTTCATAAG